TAAATAGTGTACTACACTAATAAACTTGTGGCCCTCAACATAAAACTACTAATATTTACTAATTTAAAAATATAAAATATACAGCCCCCCACTTTTTATGAAATTTTAGTACATTTACACTAAACTCAGCCCCCCCCCCCTTGCCATACAATGTCACTATTGATCCCCCCCAATCAAAAAACTGCTCCGCCGTCCCTGTTAAAATGAACTATATATAAATTTAACTGTGAAGCTCAGCGAAACCACGCTCACACGGACGACGCAGCTGAACATAAAATAATATGCTTCAGCAACTTCGAAACGCCGCCCCATGACCACGACGCCACCAATTTTAATTTCACAGCCAAATTAAACAGGAATCTATAATCTATATAATAAATGATAAGGTAAAATCGAAATGGAATAAAATGAAAAGAAAATTATTAATATAAAAATCATTTACTACAAAAACTCATAAGAAAAAAAGGGAAAATTATGGATAAAAATGTGGCAAAAAAGTCTGCTCTTTGAGAAATTTCCAGCAAAGAGCGCGTCTAAACGATTGAACTGTTGCTTGTCCGCACTTAAATTGTTCCATTTTTCTATGATGCTTATAACCATGAATGTTCTTCCTCCCTCAGTCTTCCTATTATAGCGTGGTGTAATAAAATTTAAGCTTGAGAATCTATACTGTTCCTAGAATGTATATACAGAACTGTTCAGTTTTGTACAGCATGCTGCTTTCTTTTATATTATAGTAATGTACACTTTGAGATATAAGTATCTATGTAGAAAGGCAGCCACTCCAATTTATTAAATAACGGTACTGAAGGTGCTCTTGACTCAGCATTAAGTATGACTCTTGCTGCTCTTTTCTGTAGGTGCAGAATCCTTAACAGACAGTCTTTAGTACATGATGTTTGCCAAACAACGCTAGCATAACTAAACACTGGTTTTATCATAGCATTATAGTAAGCCAAGCATTGTTTTATGGGTAGGCAGGATTTTATCTTATTGAGTACTCCAATTCTTTGTTAGATTTTCTTGCACATTCTGTCCACATGATCTGGGAAGGAGAGCTGACCATCCACATCTAGGCCAAAGAATCGGACAGTTTTCATTTGCTCAAGCCTTTTCCCGCTGGATGTGGTCATAGATAGTAAGTTGGAGGGTACTTTATCCTGAAGGCAACCATGGTCAGTTAGTGTCTTGTAAGACAACAACCATGGTTTGACTAATGGTCAACCATGTTTAAAGGCAAAATCAATACCATGGTATATCATGGTCAACCATGTTTGAAGTAGTAATTTCCTCAAACAAGAGCGAGTGTTGGATCAGGGGTCCCAAACACCAAGAAAATAATGAAAGCATGAGGCTGTAGGCCCAGTGCTTTTATTGTTTTGAGGTGTTTGGAACCCCTGATCCAACACAAAGCTCTCGTTTAAGAAATGGCTTCTCTGACTCATAATAATTCATGAAAGAAAGGGCACTGAATGCTCCAATGAGTAAATAGTAGGCCGGCTTTGTTTCTATAGGGCACAATGCCTCTAATTGCATATTCCCAAACGTTTAGAATGAAAATTTGTTTTATTTATGCAAAATCAACTTCTCAATTCCAATTCGATCTTGGGCTTTCGGGGCTCCATTAAACTTAAGCTTTGCTAAACTGGAAGCTCCTGGATAAATATTGTTTTCAAAGATAGCAAGTTTCAAAGTTCATATGAAGATCTCCTCGTAAAGTAAGAGTTAATTACCAAGAACGGAGGCAATAAGCCATATACATCCCGAGGATCAGGGGATCGAGATCCTTCTTAAAGGATTATGAATCAATAGATTTGAACGATTATTTCTATGGTATATGTTAATGACCTTCCTAATAGATTTTACGTAATATTTCAAAGCCGACAATGAGGACTGGACGGGATTTCAAGTCAAAGCAATTAGTTCAATTAGTTTGGAACTAATTGTGCGGACTTGAAATCCCATCCAGTCCGATATTGGAGGCTTTGAAATGATTTCTCATCTCATTAATTATTCGACTTGGAGTAACTGGAACAAAATTAATTCAGTCCTAGGACTAAATTAATTTTGTTCCAGTTACTAGGACTGAATTAATTTTGTTCCAGTTACTCCAGACTGAATGCATTCCTTTCACAGCACTTTACCAGGTTTCAAGTAACATCATGTGACCAAATAGCCCATTGATTGGCTGGTTTACTCATGAATTATTAATGAGTATGAGAACAAAAGTCAATAGACATTGTTGATAAACCTGTTCCACTGAAGAAGATCTTTAAGAGAGATTTTAAGTTTATTACAAAACCCTGGATTACATCCGGGCTGAAAAAATCTATCTCTGTCATAAATCATCTTTTCAGACTCTACGTTATATGAAAAATCACAGTACATATATCACCAGAAATTCAAACAATATAGAAATAAATTAAATCAACATCTGAAGATTATAGCAAATTAAAGGCGTTATYATTAATGAATACTCCAAGTTATTACGGAAAGGTATAAAAATCTTTGATTTGCCTGAAAAAACAAACTTATCTTTTACCTGCTAAAATGTCTAAAAATGGATTAAATATCACAGCATGATCCTTCTCAAATAGCTCAGGAATTCAATAACTTTTTTGTTAACGTATGACCTCGACCTGCAACATCTATTCCACCCTCTGAGAAATCATTTATGAGTGTACCTTCATGGTAACCCGTCTAACAACTGCCTATTTCACTATGACGTCACATCAAAACAATCTATTGTTTAAACTCAAAGGATCATGGTCATCGGAGGGGTTCAAATCAATGCAAATTAACCGAAAATTGTTCTAAAACCTGTATCAATCCACGAAGAGAAGTAGAATAGCCAGCAAATGCTCAGAATATTTTTTAGTACATACTATGTACTTATGGACTGAGTGGGAGGGCCGTATGGGAAAATATTTGGCTTGAGATGCCGTACATGAAATGACAGAGAGCCAAATATTTTCCATACGGCCCAACCTAACTCAGTCAATATAAGCATTTTATCATATGACCCTCACGAAAAGAAAAATAATAAAATAAAAGAAAGAAAATATGGAAAGAAAATACCGCTTGCCTGGGCAGATACGGGTCATATGATAATAACACATTATATCTGACAACCAGGCCATTATAAATTAAGCTGTTTCGCTAGGAGCAAATTGTGTTGAATTTTCTATTGGATTCGGCGATTCCATCCCCCACCACATAAACAAGCAGTGACATCATAGTGAAATAGGGCAATTCTTTCTTTCTTTCACCAACATTTCCAGTTGATATAGAAGACGTCATTTGTAACTTAAATTCAAACAAGACTTCTGGTCCATACAGTATTCCAACACTCCTACTCAAGATTTTAAAGGAGATAGCTTCATACCCTCTAGCAATCATTATTAATCACTCTTTCTCTACTGGCCTTGTTCCAGATAATCTGAAACTCTCAAGTTATTCCTATTCATAAAAATTAAAGGTTCACAACTAGACATTTCAAACCACAGTCCCATATCTCTCCCTTCTGTTTTTGTCAATAAAATCTTCCTCTTTGACTATCATTCACTGTAAAGAAATTGGTGATCCAGCACCTGTCATTAAATGGTTCCACAAAGGTTTCTCAAATCTCCCACCCAACTTCAAAGTGTACCCTAATGGCAGTCTGCTTATGTCAATTATTGAGAAATTGATCAAGAAATTTATATGTGCTTTGCATCCAATCAGGCTTGTACAGTTCAAGTGGAAGCAGCGGTTAAGTCTATGGTAGATATTCATTATTGCATAAGGATGTAACATTGTACATTTTGTAAGCTGTATTTCATATATTTAAATTCTATATATTTAGTTTCTTCTTACTTTCACAAAAAGTACTATTTCCTTTATATCCTTTGCTGCACTCACAGCGGTATAAACCAGCAGGTGTATTAATACAGAGTGCATTCTTGTTGCACTTGTGGTATTTTGTCACATTATGATTGTTTAGCTCCGTAGAGGGATTAATTCGGCACTCATCAATGTCTTGACAATGAAAAACGAGCAATAATTATGTAAACATAGGATTTCTTTTGATTTGTAAATTAATGATAGTTTCTTACCTTTACATTTAGGTATTGCTTCGTCGAACTTTCCACTTGCCACACAAGTGATATTAAATTTAGGTCCCTGTCCCATTTGATAGCCAGTTTTGCATGTTACTACTGTTGATTTGTCGATGTGAAAGAACATTCGATGAGGAACATAAGTAGAGTATAGGATGGAATCAATCCTACATGCAACTGTAAAAATATATAACAGAAGACAACAAGTATCAATAGCATGGCAGCAGCCTGGTAAACAAACTTGTACATCAATGAACCTTAGGGCTGAATTAAGGAAACGTAATGATAGGTAAATGAGCCAGTCTAATAATACTAATAATAATAATAGTAATAATGACATTATAGCAAGGACATTTAAGATCATAACATGAATACAACATGATATAGAACATTTAAGAACGTATAGGATATGTATATTGGATATGATATATTGGACTATAGAAAATGAACTAATATATAAACTGAATTGATATAGATATGACACTTATTTCAATAAAGTTAGTCGCCTGAAAAGCTACAAAGCTGAGACCAACAAGGATTATGGGTAGTTACATTTTACATGTTTCAACCGCTTTAATAACTGTTTCGATGGATTTTAGATCTTTTACCATTTACAGTCTCACCTCTTCCTCAGCATCCTCAAGCTGCAAATTGTATCAAAAGCTTTACTTGTTTGATATTAAAAG